GGGGGGGGAGACAGGATTGTATCACGGGGCTGGGAAACAGCTGGGAGGGGGAGGAATAGGTTCTAGAGGAGTCTTTGTGGATCTGGAAGCTGGCTGGGATCTGCCCCAGATGGGGAAGCTCTGCAGCAGCAGCTTTCCTGCCCTGTGCACATCAGGATCCCTCCCGATGTGTATATGACCAGGAGACAGCTGTCTCTTGGCCCTGTTATCCCTGCTAGCCCCTGGGTCAGCAGCCATGGGGAACTGAGAGCTCCCCCAGGCTGCTGCAGGTAGACATGCCCTGTGCTACCTATTCCATAGCAGTGTAATAAGCTTAAGTACCGTTAAGTGCTGTGACACACTCCAATACTATAATACTGGGGGACACAAAAGTACCCAGAGTAAGACAGGGCAGTTCTAAGACTAGAACTGATTGTATTTTCAGGTGGGTAACATGAAGCTTTTTCCAGTTCACAAACAACTGATACTTAAGCAAATGTATATTAAGTGAAATATCTATGGACAACATGATAAGCAGTTTTTAGCTTCTGGGCTGCTTGTAATCTGTTCACTTTGAGTAATCCCTATCTGTGGTGCATGAGTCACAGAATAATGTTTCTACTCTTCTCCCTGTTTCAATGACAAACTTTTTAATCTGGAGAATGATAAATACGAAGAACAGTAGCAAATAGTGAGTAGCAAGTAGTCTGGTTAGCACCACAGTCTGCCTGTTAATATATATGTGAATGCCTATGCAGAACAGCCATTTCACAATTTAATTATTATTTATTTATTTTTGGAATCACACATCTATTATCTGCATGAAGGTTAGCAAATTACAAATAAAGATAAGAACTGGGACTTGGAATGAAGCCTCTCAAATATCCACTTGGTTTACTTAGCCAGTTACCCAAATAAAACCTGATCCTGAGAGGAGCTGGACACCAACAACTGAAACTTCTCTGTGAATTCAAGATGAAGTAACAGTCCTCGTCTGATGGTAATCAACATAGTTCTGAGTTTGGAATCATTTTTTTCCAAATGATATTAAGTTTAATAGCCAGCACTGAGAATTGAACTGGGACTCTGAGATCTTGATTTGAAAACTATATTTGAGCAGTATTTGAACACAGTGGAGACTGCAATGTTCTGGGCATAGCTTTCAGATTCACAGATGCTTTATCATGTATGAGATGGAGGTTCTCCTGTGTAGCCCTCATTTATGCCAGTGGAGAAGAGTAGCTCTGGCATGCCCTCTTCTCTTCATTTTTTCCTCGGTCCCATATCTGAAAAGTGTTGGGGGTAGCTTGGCGGTCTCAGCCAGGTCCCACCAAAGGGAATTTTTTCTGCACAGGCAGAACTGTGCACTGGCCATTTCAAGCTATTTGCTGTAATGCA